TTAGGATTAATTTCACAGGTCTTTGAGTGATTCTAACATGAATTTCATAAAAAAAAATTGTAAGAAGATTATGAATTCAACGACAGATTAAGTAAATTCCCATACCTTCCTTAAGAATGCAGTCAACTCTGCAATCACTTGCTCCAACAGTCAAGATTGAGCTATTTTCAGTGGAGAAGCAGCAATGACAGCAAATGCTTGGATGCAAAACACTCAAGGTCTTAGAAACTTAAGACATGTACATAATAATACAGAGTCCCAAATGTATATCTTCAGAAAGTAAAGGCCGAAAAATAGACATCAGCAAACAAATGGCAAAGGAACAGTCACAGTCAGTCACAAAAGTGAGCAGAAGAATTACCTTCACAGCTGTAAGTTGAGTGATCTCATTTCCCATCCGATCGACAAGTACAGGAAGGCATACAAGCAGTTCAACATCAAGGTTATCACCAAATGTTGACACAACAAGATCCATGCAAGAAATAGCACATTCATTTACCTCCTGCATAAGAATAGACATGAGCCACAATACAAGCAGACATAAACAATTAAGTACACATATAGGATGATCTTGATCTTTATTTGTCAAGCGTGATATTATGGCATTATATATTGGATGAACATAAGGTTGGAAATCAAAACCAATCCCCTACATGGAAAAACCAAATCATATAAGTAGAGAATAGTTTAACAGGACCACAAGACTAAGAGTGCCCACTAATACACCTCGATATTCAGGCAAACGACATGGAAAAATTCCCTACACACCCTTAACGCCTCAGCTGTGACTTTGTAAAAACGCTCTCCCACAGCAGATACAAAGGACTAGAAAGAGCCTGCAATAATATGAGTTTATATTTTATAATGTCCCCAAATGAATGCAACTAGTGGTCTATTTCTCAATATCATATCAGCGTATTCATAACATAGCATATTCGTAACAGTTACTGCAGTTACCTTGATATAAAGATGGAAATCACAGAAGGAGAATTCGAAGCCAGCACCAATCGTACAAATATAAGAGCTTCAATCTTTAAATTGGAGGTAAAAGACCTATCCTAGAAAAAATTACAAGAGACCACCAAAAATAGGAAAAAAGGGGGGCAAATATCAGCACCTTATATTAGTTCAAAATACACTTCCAATTTGAGACAATTTTACTTACACTTAATGCCTTTTCAATTCCTGGAATGAGTGAACCCATGTGATCAGCCAGGAAATCTGGCAAGACCACCACAAGTTCTTTCAAAACAGAAGACATGCCAACCTGAAAATAGATAAATGTTATAGTTCATAACATTCCCATAACAAACAATCCAAAAGATACTTAAAAAATCCTACTTATAGATCTGACAATCTTTGACACTTCTTGCTTCAATAACCATTTTGGACTGCAAAACAGGCCAACAATTTAGCAAAGGCATCTAATAACTCAGAACTAGGATAAGTCCAATTCCCTAGTTACGAATCTAAGATTTCTAAAACCACACCCAACCAAGCAAATGCTAGATAAGAGGTAAAAGAGAAAACAAACTGCTTGTACTTTGACACTCAGATAACATTACAAGTTTACAACTAAGTTACCTCTGTTCATTTATCTCAATCTGTCCTTTTGTAACATTTTCAGTTTGCTGCAACAGTTCAATGAATGTATTAAAAACATCCATCTGCAGCAAAATAATTAATCCTGTGAAGCGAGAAGATCCACTGACATTCATTCTGGTTTACCTTGACATTTTCCTCCTTCTCTTCAAACCTGTCAATTAATTTTGGACAAGCCTGCGGAAAAGCAGAAAGTGTTTAATGATTTCATTGAAGGACTAATGTGAGAATTGAAGGAAATTAAACATCACATTTCAAGTCGACGAGAGACCCATACCCAGTAAAATACAAAATCAAAATGTCACAAATATATCAAAAACACAAGAGAGCACACAAATATATAATGAGAAGTTTCAAGAGAAATTGCAAAGCATCTCAGGACGGGAAACAATTAATGCCACTAAGCAATTAGCTGCTGCTCTTCGGACTTTCCAGCTGACATCTTCATCACCTGTATATTCAGTCGCTCACTACAACATAATAAAGCCAGCATAATTAGAAATCATTTAGTGGACCTGTGACTCCGAGTCAAACATAACCTCACACAGATTGAAAACATACTCATCTTCCTCCTCCTCGTGAGTTTCATCATCAGAATCCTCCTCCATGCTGTCAGTGAAGTTCGGGTCTTTAAAGTTATTGTGGCATGAGATCAAAAATAAAGATTTAAACTAAGAGGTGCTGAAGTGGAAGAAGGTACGGAAATTATGCAGCCTTTCCATACTTTCACAACTCTATTTTAAAGATTTTTGTCCTGATACAATCTGTTTGGTGTTTGACAATCTGGACGGTCTTACATATTTCCTCTTCCTAAGCTTTTTAATCCTGCTCACCCTCCTTGGATCATCATTTTCCTTCATTTTCTCTAACTTCTCTTTCCTCCCTTCAATATCAGCTTGAATAACTTTCTCTCTCTTTTCATCTGATAGCAAAGCCAATCTAGCAAATTTCTTGGGCCTCACTAGGCCAAGCCTCTCGGTTATTTCCTTGAATGCAGGAACAAGACCGCGTCGTAGGAAGCATCCGTCAATGAGCCGCATTGAGTTTGATTCAGGGAGAGCTGGGGCATCTTTCAACTCAAGGTCCAAACAAAATGGGGAGTCCTTTAACCACATCCTGAGGGAGTGTGCCTTCGCTACAAGAAGGCCACTTCGTGTTTTGCAAGGCAGAAAAGGCGAACCCATCTCCCAAAGGCATGCCTTCAATGTACTGTTAAGTGAAACCATGTTGTACTCGGATGTCCCCGTTATCAGCACGACTGATTTTGGAGACTCTGGATAACCCTCCAATGATGCATCCTGCCATAAAACAAGAACCTCTGTGTTAGACTCACAAATGAAAGGGGAGCTTCAAAAGGGTAGTGATCTCAAACGAAACTGTGAAGGAGAAAGAGGGTTGCCTGCATCTGATCCAGCCATAAAGTAAGACCAACAAGAGCAGAACCAGCTGATAACTTTCTAAAATCAGCAGCCCAGTCTTTGTCACCTACCCTGCATTTAAAAGATTACTGGGTATAAGCAAACCGATGGAAACGAAAATTGAATAAGGAAAACCACTTTCTTTTCTTTAGCCTTGATAGACATATAACATACCAGATGGTTGACAATTGGATCTATCAACACCTACCTGAACACATCATTGTTATAGATGCCTCTCTTTACTGCTAATTGGAAAACCCATGAAGCAGTGGCTCGGAGTTCATATGCCCACAAAAGGTCCTCCAAAGCATTGACAAAGTTGAAGACTGCATTGTCTTCCAAGGGTTCTAGTTTTTCTAGGCAACGATCTACTTCCGAAATCAGTGACTCAGGTTTTTCTGTCACAAGCCTACAAGACAAGATTTGCTTGGAGACGGATCAGAGGAAAAAAAAACTTGGAAAATGAAGAAAAATCTGATTGTGATTCTAACTTGAGAACTAATAATTACCTGATTGGAAGATCAAATCCGGCATCACACAGTGCATTTAGGAGAATAATAGCTTCACTTTTGTGCTGGGATAAACTTGCAGCCCGTAGAAAGCAAGTCCATATTCTATGATCTGGCTCCAGGCCTCCTTCCTTCATCTCATTGAGCTTTTGAATTCCAATGTTATAATCTTCATTCTTCAGATAAGCACCAATAACTGAACTATATGGTAACGTATCAAGATCTAAGCCAGTTACTTTCAAATTGTCAAGCACCTTTTCAGCTTCCTCAGGCTGTCCAGAGCTGCCATAAGAAACCATAAGCAAGTGCATTGTGGCAAAGTTGGGTTCTATTCCTGCCTCCTTCATCATGGTGAACAACATTTCAGCTTTGGCATGGTTTCCTGAATTTCTAAACATTTTCATCATTGTATGATAAAAGGACCGATCCAGTTTACATCCATTTGACCTTAACTCTTCAAAAAGTTCCTCAGCTTGATCCAACAGCTTCTGCTTACCAAATGCCGAAATTAAGCTTTTGTAAGTGTCCAACTTAGGTTCTAGGCCCTGCCTTCTCATTTCCTGCATCAATGATAAACCTTCTTCTGGTCGACAATCTCTGCAGTACATTATAATTAAAGTATTGTAAGTATCGTCATCAGGTTGAAGTACAGCTTCTTGAATCCGCTGGTATACTTTAACTGTCTTTTTGAAATCCTTAATTCCTGCATATAACTTAAGCATGGAATTCCATATTGAAAGATCCGGCTTGAACCCTGCCTCTTCCATCTCAGAAACCATTGCTTCAACATCCCTTACTCGTTTTCCCCTGCACAATAACTTGATCATAATCCTGAAACAATCCATGTTAGGAAAATAACCTGCAGCCTTCATTCCATGGTATATCTTCTTTACCTCAAATATGTTACCTTCTCGAGCAAATGCTTCAAGCATCAAGAGAATTGAACTCTTGCTTATTTTTAAACCCATATCTTGCAACTCCTGGATTAGAACATAGAGCTCATTCAATCTCCCATCAGCAATCAGAGCTTGCAAAAGACCATTTACAGAATCTATTGTTGGGGAAGGACCATCTCTCATCATTGTGTTAAAGATCACTCTAGCTCGCTCATAACAACCACTTGCAGCATAAGCTTGTATCAAGGCATTCCAGACCTTCCGATCCACTGCTTTACATCTTTGTCTAAGACTTCCCACCAAACTTTCAGCTTTCTGCCACAGCTTCAATTTCCCATAGACTTCAATAACATTAACATATATGTTGACATTGTCAAATAAAATGCCTTTCATTTCTGCCCGATCAATCAAAAGGTGGGCTGTCTCAGGGAAACCCATCTTACAATAGATGAGCACCATAATTTGGTAAAGATGCTCAGATGGTTCAACACCATATAATCTCATGTCAGAATAAACCTGAGAAGCTTCACCAAAGAGTTCATTCTCTTCGCAGCCTTGAATCAGGATTTCATACATGGTTGAACTTCTGCTAAAAGAATGGAACCCTCTGGTATTACTATATTCCACCAAGGCAGCATCAAATCTGTGAGCCTTGCATTGTATGACAACCAATGCTTCAGTTATAAGTTGATTGGAACCAGGAGCATGTTCTCTCAAAAATTCAAGCAATTCACATGCTTCTGAGTGCCTTCCACATGAACTATAGGAACTGACAATAGATAAAAGACTTTCCCTGTCCAACTCATAGCCACTGTTGATGGCTAATCTCAACATTTTAGCAGCATGGTCATAACATTCTCCCTTAACAAGAATAGATGAGATAACTTGTGGGTTCATACCACCAACTTTTTCCATATCTCTGATCACTCTTTCAATGACTTCCAATTTATTTTCTCTTCCAAGCACCCGCAACATAAACCCATAGAGGGCATGATCCAGCTTGAAACCGTCATGCAGCATTTCCTGATACAATGTGATAGCCTTCTTTGTCTCATTGACCTTCAGAAAGATATCCAACATAACTGAGTACGCTAGATGATCTGGTCTAATCCCAGACTTAACCATGCAATCAAATGTCTCTTGAGCCTCCACCTGTTTCCCAGCCTTGGCATACGCACACATCATAGCACTATAAGTCCGAAGAGTGGGTTTCACTCCACTGTCCAACATCTCTGACATCACATTAGTGGCTTCTGTTATCATATTTGCTTTTCCAAGCGAATCGATCAATACAGTGTATGTAACAGCATCAGGAGTCCGGCCTAGCATTTTCATGTCCCTGTAAAGCTGAAACGCTAGATCATGCTGGCCCTGCTTGCCATACATGTGGATAATAGTATTGTAGGTCATCTCATCTTTACCAAACCCCATTTTCATCATATCTTCACCAATATCCCTCACCTTTTCTATATCAAGTTCTCTTGCAAAAGCATACAACAAGGAATTATATGTCACTGCATCTGGGAAAAACCCTTTCGACTCCAATTCCTTAAAGAGCTGCTCAGCTTTGCTTGATTGTCCACATCTCCCATATACGGAAATCATGGCATTGTAAGTCCAAAGATCAGGCTGACAATTATGTGCTTCCATATCATTGTAAACCTTCACTGCCTCCTCCAAATTGGATTCACGGGAACAGCCACTTATAAGAGTATTATAAGTTATTATATCTGGCCTAAGACCTGATCTTCTCACCTCATTTAAAAGGTCAATAGCCAAGTTTGGTGCCATGGCTCCTGACCTCAGGCGAGCATTTATCAAAGTATTGAGACTCACAAGGTCCGGTTCGCCCCC